AGGGTGGAAAAAAAGCAAAGCAAGCAAAGCAACGAGGCCTGGTAGTGGAGGGTAATGAAGAACATTCTTCAGAAGAAAAAAAAAAAGGACATCCTTGCATGTTTAGGTTTTCTTTGGGCCACTATTAAGTATACATAATGTGAGCTAATCTGGTTTAGGGGAAATGATCCAAACAGCATGTGAAGGATAGACCGGAATGGGCAAGGAGATTCCTGCCAAGGAGCTATTGCAGAGGACATGAACAGGTTATTCGTGTTCTTCCTTGGCTTTGTAACCAGGACAGGGCTGCACCCACAACTTGAACTCAAGCTATGGGACAGGCACAGATGTAGCACCCGGAGCCAGGCAAGACCTGATCATCACAAAGGGCTTTCCAGGGCTGGAAAAAGAAATTATGTGCAGAGACAAAAGGAGAAGGTGTAAAAACAGGATCCAAAAAAGTAGGGGGGAAGTTGGATGGGAAGCTACGTCATCAAACCTTGTCGGTTCTCTTAATGTGGATCTTGACAGCTTCCTGCTCTCCACCCACAGCCACTGCACCCTGCAAGGTTGTAGGTCCTCACTGGGACTCTCAGCTCGAGACGGCTGGCAAACTGTACATCAGTAAAAGAAACTGTGTGCGCTGGGTTAGGTAGAATTATGCCCCATACACACACATGCACACACACACACACACACACACACGTATGTTGAAGTCCTAACCTCTAGTATCTTATTGGAAATAGGTGACCATATTTGGAAATAAGCTTGTTGCAGATATGATTAGTAAAGAAGAGGTCATACTAGAGTAGGGTGGGTGCCTAAACCAGTATGACTGCTGTCTTTAAGAAAAGAAACCAGCCGGGCGTGGTAGCGCATGCCTGTAATCCCAGCACTTGGGAGGCTAAGGCAGGAGGATCGATGCGAGTTCAAGGCCAGCTTGGGCTACAAAGTGAGTTCAAGGCCAGCCTACACTGCACAGCGAAACCCTCTCTCAAGAAGACCAAATTAAAAAAAAGAAGAAGAAAAAGAAGAGGAAACAGAGCCAGTCAGGGTGGTATATCCCTGTAATCCCAGCTGAGGCAGAATTCAGCCTGGACTCTACAGTGAGTTCAAAGCCAGCTTGAACTACATGGCAAGACCCTCTCTCAAAAACAAAAACAGAGGAAACAAAAACACAGGAAACAAAAACACAAAGGAAGAATGATAGCATGAAGGCAAAGCTAGAAGTGCTGCGGCCAAAAGCCAAGGATTCATGGCCACCACCAGAAGCTGCAGTGACGTGAAGGAGTTCTCCTATAGGTTTCAGAGGGATCTTGGCCCTGCTGACATCTTGGTTTCAGGCTTCTAGCTTCCGAATTGTGAGACTACACATTGCTGTTGCTTTAAGCTTTCCAATGGTGGTACTTCACTATGGCCATGAGGAAAGTAATACAACCACTCACTGAAACAGAGCTATATGTACATGTTTGTAAGTTACATAGATGGGTGCTGCTACACTAACATGCCCTTAAAACGCAAAAACATAACTTAAAAGAGACATATTGATGAAACAATATTTTAAATTATTTTATGACATTAATGGTATAAAAACCTTTCAATGACTAGTGCTCCTTAAATAGGCTTCATTTTTTAATGGGTTACATATGGAACGCAGAAATGCAAAGATATCCTAAATGCTGTTACTTTCTGTAGAAATGAGTGTCGTGGCCAAAATATAAAATTACAAGTGATATGTAGTTTCACATGGAAGACCTGTATCACTCTAATTATGGAAATTTGTTATAATTTGGCTAATTCCCACTCTCCCTAATATCATCTGTTCTTGCAAAATAATCAGAAAGTGCCACAATAAAGGTTAAAATCCACTAAAAGTCTCCACTGAAAAAAAATTTTTTTTTGAGGTAGGATCTTGCTATCTACTTCAGGCTGACCTTAAACTCACAGAGATCATCCTGCCTCAGCCTCTCAAGAGCTGGGATTACAGGCATGTGCTGCCAGGCGTGGCAACCCGAGAAATTTTAAAACAGATTAAGAAATTGTTTCCCTGCTTTTTAAATATGAATTTATGTGATGTAACAGTAAAATCATATAATGATGAAATAACTTCTGTGATGGCTTGTGTCTGGATGTCCCCCAAAGCTCATGTGGTCACAGGTGGGGCTTTTCAAGGCTGGATCTGGAGTGTGTCGTGCTGGGCTCATGGGTGTGTGATTACCAATCAGTCCACTGATTGGTTTGGCATAGTTCTGGGTAGGATTAAGCCTGCCCTGCCTTGGCTGTGCTCACTCCCTGCCCTAGAGATGGGTAGGCTTGATAAGTAATAAGGGACAGGAAGAGGGTCACTGGCTGTCACTTGTCACTTGTCTGCTGCTGCTTGCTGCCTTCTGCCTGCCTGCCTGCCTGCCTGCCTGCCTGCCTGCCTGCCTGCTCCAGTGTGCCCCTCTGCCCTGCCACCCTGCCTCGGAGCCAGCCAACTGGGAACTGAAACCTCCACAAACTGTGAGCTAAATAAACCTCTCCCTTTTACTTTGGGTGTTGGGTATTTTGTCTCAGCAATGAGAAAATAGGTAAGACAATTTCCAATTGCCAATTTTCAAAATTTCCTTTTCTTTGAGTATTTGTAGAAAAGTGAGTTTCTTATTCTTTTGAGGGAAAAATACTATCATGCCCTCAAGGGACATGTTGTTTATTTTTTTTCAACATCTGTTAAATAGTATACTACTAAAACCTTTTATTATCACAGAAAGAAAAAAGTCAGCAAATTAGACACCCATCTTCTTGTATAAAGAAAAATGTATAAACTAATCAAAGTTGAGCCAGGTGTGCTGGTGCACACCTGTAATCCCAGCATTGAAGAGGCTGAGACAAGGATCATTGTGAGTTCGAGAACAGCCTGGGATACAAAGTGAGCTCAAGACCAGCCTGAACTGCATAGCGAGACTGTTTCAAAAAGACAAAAAAAGAAAGAAAACTAAAAAGCCAGGCACGGTGGCTGTAATTACATGCCTGTAATCCCAGCTCTCAGGAGGCTGAGGCAAGTTTGAGACCAGCCTGGCCTACAGAGTGAGCTCAAGGCCGGACTAAACTGCATGGAGAGACCCTGTCTCAAAAAAGACAAAAGGGAAAAAAAAAGAAAACTAATCAAAGTCAACAATTTTTCTAAGTAGTTCACCATAAAACAATCTGTCAAGTATAAAAGATTTTCATGCTAACTCCCTAACTCAGGATGTCCTTTCCCTCTCCTAAAGTTTACCCCATTTATTTAGCCAGGGACACACACAACAAATCCTCCAACATGAACAGGAATAAGCCAAGGAGGGCTTTCAGGTCCTGTGTGCCACAGAACTGTCACCTTGCCCCCGGAAGCTGCACACGCTGTGTGACACATAAAGACAAAGAGGGGCCTGTCTCAGTCTGTGTATTACATAGGAGTCCTGCTTGATTTCTTGCTCATTTTTTAGAAATAAATGTACTGGTAAACCAACCCAGTGGGTAAGCCTGTAATCCCAGCACTTGCAGACTGAGGTTGAAGGTTCACTTGAGCCCAGCAGTTAGAAACCAGCTAGAGCAACAGAGTGAGACCCTGTCAAAAGGAGGGGCAAGTGGGGAGGAAAGAAGGCACTGCTAAAGAGCATCCACAAAAAACCTACAGCTTACAGTTAACATTGTGCTTCCATAATGGGAAAAGACTAATTTAATTGCTTTCTGCCTAAGATCAGGAGCAAGGCAAGGGTACCCGTGACTCAACACAGTGCTGGAAGTGCTCATCCACACAGTAAGGCAAGAAGAGGAAACAGACATAGAGGTTGCAAGGGAAGAGAGAAAACTGTCCTATTTTTAGATGTCGTGATGATTTGCAGAGAACACAGAAAATCCCAAAGAATCTAAAAACCACTACTACAACAAACACCACAGAACTAACAAGTGAGTGAAGTAAGTTCCAAGATACAGGATCAGCATACAAAAATTAATTGTATTTCTACACATCAGCAATGAACATACAGACACTGAAAGGAGAAATACAATACCATTTAGGAGATCTAAATAAAAAACGAACTGCACCAAGCATGGTGGCGCACGCCTGTTATCCCAGCCCTCAGGAGGCTGAGACTGGACTGCCAAGAGTTCAAGGCAAACCTGGGCTACACAGTGAGACCTGCCTCAACCCTCCCCTCTAGAAAAAGAAAAGCAATAGAGAACATGTCAGTCTCTGAGGGTAACGGAGTGCAGGACGTGGACAGGGAAGAGGCAACATGAAGAATCACAGGGTACCGGGACTACCCTGAACCTTGACTGTGTCATGGTGGACGTCGGGTTTTGCAAGACGATACCACGGGGGGTAACGGATTAAAGGGTACCGTGTACTCTTGGTGTTATTTCTTAACCACTATATGTAAATCTACAATTACCTTAAAATTAAATGTTTAGTTTTTTTTCAAAAATGCTTCCAGTAAATAAATAAAAACAGGAATTGGAGTTCTAATATATTCTTCCCACACCATGATGAATCAACTTAGACATGTTCAGTTGAAGAGATCAATGCCATGTGCTCATCCCACCGCAATCTTTGAGCCCCTTTTAGCTATTCTCCACCCTCTCTTAAAGTTGTTTGCTTTGGTGGCAGAACTGGGGACCGAACCCAGGGCATCACACACTACGCACACACGCTACTATTGAGCTGTATCCCCAGCCCAAAGTTGTCTCTCTTAAATGCAAGCTGGACCCAGATTGTTAGTTTGACACACAGGGGCTTCATGATCTCTACCCAGTTCCTTGCAGTTTCGGGTTGCACGAAACCCTGAGTGCGGTGGCTGAGGACGGGCACCAGGAGTGACTCGTCTTCATGTGTGTAGATTCTAACGTGTGTGCGCCAGCCCTTCCCCGTGCTCAGGGTCTTCCCTAGCACATAGTAAGAGTGCAGTAAACCTTGACTTAAGCCCACTCTGAATCCCAGCTGCCTTTGCTTTAGTCCTAAGAGCCGAGAAGCTTTGCCTCCTCGTCACCCTCAAAGCACTGACCTGCAATCACTCCTGCCAGGTACACCAGCCCCACGCGGAGGCCTTTGTGGACCATTTCCAGGGGAATTCCCAGCACAAGCTGCATGAAGAGATTCCCCACGATGTGCTGCACTCTGCAAAGACAAACATATGTCAAATACTTCGCTGGTTTTCCTTGGGATTTCCAGTTAAGGACTTGCTACAATTCCATTTTATCATTATTTTGGCAGGAAATTCTTTTTATTTTTTTTTTTCCTTTTTTAAAGTAAAATCCTAGCTGGCCGTAGTGGCACACCCCTGTAATCCCAGCACTTGGGAGGCTGAGGCAGGAAGATTGCCACAAGTCCAAGGCCAGCCTGGGCTGCGGAGTGAATTCAAGGTCAGCCTGCACTACATAGTGAGAGAGACCCTGTCTTAAAAAACCACAAAACAAAATAAAAATAAAATAAAGTAAAATCTTGTGGCCACTTGCATGGTGGCCCGTCCTCATGCCGGAAGGTGACTTCCTCCCCTACTTTTACTTGACCAGGCTCACTCCGCAGAGCCTGCTTCTTTCCCTACCATTAACAAAACTTTTCTATCCTTAAAATTAATTAATTAATTAATTAAAAACAAAATAAAATCTTACATGGAGCTGCAATAGGTAAAACCCACAAAAGGGCATTTCAGAAGTATACACACATTTTGTAAGTCCTCTTGTGTAAAACTTATGAAACAAGTATCAGTGAGGCTGATTTAAGAAATAAAAACTTGAAATTTGGGGTTAGGATGACAATTACAGTCATGTCAGCCTCAGCATCTGATTTTATTTTCATTGCACAGTTTTGAGAAAATCCTAATTCACTGAGTGAATTTCAATAGATTTTAAAAATTCTATCTCCTTTAAATTTCAATAGTTTTGGTTTTTGGTTTTGGGTTTTTAAGACAGAGTCTCGCTGTATAGGTCAGCCTGGCCTTGAACTCACTGTGTAGCCAGGCTGTCCTTGTGGGGATCCTCCTGCCTCAGCCTCTCAAGTGATAGGATATAGGCACGTGCCACCAAGCCCAGTTTGAATTTCAGTAGATTTTTAAACAAGACTGTCTTGCAACCTCAGGAATTTAATAAATCAGAGATGGCAAGAGAAACTTCACTCCTGTTTCTATATTAAAAAGTTACCTTTAACACTTAATAAGGTGGTAACTATTATATGCTACAATTTGGCATCTAACATGTCTGAATATGAGTATTGCTATAGTCTCTAAGTAGATAAATATACACATATTTTTCAGGGCTGGGGATCAAACCCAGGGCCTTGCACATGTTACACAAGTACTCAACCATCAGGCTACATCCAAGCCTGGTAAAAATATTTTGAAATAGTTTCAGACCCCCTTCTGTCTCTCTTAGACAGACATTAATTTTCAACGAATTCTTCCTACTTTTAAAAAACATATATTTTTAAAAATAAAATTCTTATCATCTTCTTATCAAACCCCATAAATACCTCTGGAGAATCTCTAAACATAATTAGGCGATGTCCCACATTACAGTAACCCTTAATTTAGTTGTCACAAAAAAAAAAATTTAGTTGTCACACAGAAGCACAATTTTTATTTTTTTAAAGGGGATTTCTCATTAAACCAAAAGTTCAAAACCAAAATAGGCACTGGATCTTCCACAGGGCAGCAGCTTCCATATTCATTTCATTTACCTAACAAATATCCATCGGGTCACAGAAGAGCTTCTCCGGGAGCACCCTGCAGGGTAGATTACCCACCTTGATGTCCTTCCTGCACCCAGCCTCAATACCAGTGTTCAGACTATCTTCAGGGCTGGGGATACAGCTCAGCGGCATAAGCACCTGCCTCACAAGCAGGAGGTCCTGAGTTCAATTCCCAGTTCCAAAAAAAAACCATCTTCAAAGACATATGAGCTGTGATATGTATCCCACACAGAATAGTCTAGCAAGAACAGTTGTACTTTGGTTCACAAACGCTTTTGTTTGCAAACAATTTGATTCACAAACAAACAGAAACATTTGGCAAAATTCTGTTTTTGAGTGCAAACTCCACGTCGGGTGATGAACCCGACCACAGCCATCTTTCCCACACGTGGCCATCTTTTCTAAAATCATGCAACAAATCACATTTGTGAACTAGGTAGCATTGTACTAGTGTTTTGAGGTCCTCAAACATAAAGACTGGAAATTTAAAAAAAATTAGAAATATCTGCTGCTAGCTTGGTGTGGTGGTGTATGCCTATAATCCCAGCACTAGAGAGGCTGAGGCAAGAGGATCTGCACAGTTTGAGAATAGCCTGGGCTCAAAACCAGCCTGCACTACATAGCGAGACCCTGTCTCAAAAAAGGGAGGGAGCAAGAGGCAGAGGTGAGAGCGCTGTCTGGAGACTTTTAAGAGAGCTTCTAACTCGACAAAAGAGATGGCCATACCCATAGGAACCACCTCTCCCCGTCTCTTACTTTGAATGCAGAGATACAGCAGCCAACTTGCAAGCATAAAAAACCAAGGGAATAGCAGAGAGGTCAGAACAGGACCTAGAGCCCCTGGCTTCATCAAACTGATGAAGCAGTTGCCTATTTCTGAGCCTTTCCTATGAGGGAAACTTAGCCCCTATTTACTTAAGCGCCTGTGAGATAGATTTGTTATTTGAGTCCAAAAGCATTTCTAGCTTATGCATCCCCACATGTGACATGGCCCATAGAGCCTTGCAAGTTCTTTTTAGTGCCTTACTATGGGTTTCTACTGTGTGAAATTTGAGGCTGTTGCCTCACTTAATCGCAGCCTCCTCAGGTGGTATTATTACCCCACTTTACAGATGAGGAAACTGGGGCACAGAGAGGTTAAGTAGCTACTGTGTGCTATAATATATACTGCCTTACACTACTATTTAACTGTTTGCCCTTAAAATGTTGAAGTCCTTAAATGCAGAAGCCACATTTGCTCAGAATATGTTTGTACATGGAAAACCAAAGTGTGCAAAAGTCTTCAGATAGGCCAAGCATGGTGGCGCACACCTGTAATCCCAGCACTCGGGAGGCTGAGGCAGGAGGATTGCTCCGAGTTTGAGACCAGCCTGGGCTACAAAGTGAGCTCAAGTCCAGCCTGACCTGCATAGTGAGACCCTGTCTCAAAAAGACAAAAAAGAAAAAGAAAATGGACATTTAGGGATTTTATCCTAGTCTTAACTCTCTGGTCCTGCATCCTGCCATGGATGCCTATTTAGCCACTGGTCAAAAGAGTCATCCTGGGCTGGGGATGTGACTCAGTGGGAGAGCTCTTGCCTTCCGTGCACAAGGTCCTGGGTTTGATCCCCAGCACCACCACCAAAAAAAAATTCCTTTCCTATTCAGGGCTGGGCTGGTCACACAGATGAGGTTGACCACATCTGAGACCACAGAACTCCACCCAAGAGGTGGGGCCCACAGCAAGCTGCCCAGTAACGTAGTGGGCATGGGGCATCGGAGGTGCTGAGGTCAGGAAAAGCTGCCAGCATTTAGGAAATGATAAGCAAAACAGAGAGGCAGGCAAGTATCACCTGTGCCACTTCAGATGGACAACAGGGTTGTACACTGATCAAAATGTTCATGAACTTTTTGAAAGCATGGGGATTGCAGAGGGGGACAGACTGGTGATTCAGTTTCACCATTTCATAACCTAAAAGGAACAGTTAACAACATCCAAGACCCAAGGCGACCTACTTCTGGCTTGACAATGCTTTGGTCTCTTGTCATTAGTATTGCTATATCAGGGGCTGGGGATTTAGCTCAGCGGCAAAGTGCCTGCCTGGCAAGCGCAAGGTCGTGAGTTCGGTTCCTGGTACCGGAGAAAAACCAAAAAAAAAAAAAAAAAAGTATTGCTATATCAGTACCAATATTAGGGATTTATAGTGCAATTGCACTAGTGGGTTGAAGTCCTCACTCTAACTTAGTTGTGATTATATCACAGCCATAGCTGGGTGCAGTGGCCTACCCCTGTAATCCCAGCACTCGGGAGGCGGAGGCAGGCAGATCACCAAGAGTTCAAGGCCAGCCTGGGCTATATAGCGAGACCCTATCTCAAAAAAAAAAAACTATATCACAGCCATAAAACAGTGGGAGAGATGCCTGCCTCCTAGGTGTGAGGGTCAAACAAGATAATGAACATGAAAGTGCCTTATCAGTAATACAGCTCCAGACACGTCAGGGGTTACCATTATGCACAGCACTTCCGACACCAGGGCTCACCCTGCCACTCCTTACCCAGCATGCACCAGCATGTACGAGACGAACCTCCAGGCTTCCTCTCTCTTGTCAGGACGGTAGGTAAAGGGACTGGCCAGGATGCCTGTGTCCAAGGTGATCCACTGTTTCTGGGGCTTCCATACGGCATAGTAAATAAACACTGCCAGCTGACAGAAGGGCAGACAGAAGGTTAACCACAGCTTCTCCAGAGACTGGCCCCATACAGCCCATGGGCAGTGTGTCAGTGACGAGCTCTCCGGTGGGGTCACAGGATGACAGCAACAGGTGTTTCCACCATCCCCCCTGTGGTCATATGCTGCTTCCTGCTGTGGTTGAATGCAGTGCTGGACCACACTGCAAAGAAGACTAAATTCTCTTTCCTCTGCTCTCCGACACCCTGTCCAGCACTGCTCTCTAACACTCTTCTTTCCTACCCATGGCCCACACCTTTCCACCCCCACCACTTTATCTTTCATTTTCAAGTACAGTTTTTTTGTTGTTGTTTTGAGACAGAGTCTCACTATGCAGTTCAGGCTGGCCTTGAACTCACTATGTAGCCCAGACTGTCCTCAAACTCGCAGTGATCCTCCTGCCTCAGCCTCCCAGGTGCTGGGATTAAGGCATGAGCCATCACGCCCAATTTACAAGTATAGTTAACATGCAAGTAAGTCAATACCGGCTTCCAAAGATTAAAATAAGGAAAGAGGGGGCCTGGGGATTTAGCTCAGCGGCAAAGCGCCTGCCTGGCAAGCGCAAGGTCGTGAGTTCGGTTCCTGGTACCGGAGAAAAACCAAAAAAACCAAAAAAAAAAAAAAAAAAAAAAAGGAAAGAGGAAAATAGTAACTTTACAATGAATAGGCAGGGTGTGGTGACGCATACCTGTAATCCCCACACTCAGGAGGTTGAAGTAGGAGGATCTTTTGTTGTGAGTTCAAGACCAGCCTGGGCTACAAGGTGAGCTCAAGGCCAGACTGAACTGCCTAGCAGGACCCTGTCTCAAAATGACCAAAAAAAACCAAAACCCTGAAAGTATAGTAATTCTACAATGCATAAACCTGGCACAAATAGTAACTTTACAATGGGTAAACTGCCTTGATCAAGGGGTGTAGGTCAGTGCCCTAGGGACGCTCTCTACTTCCTGACGTGAAGTGAGGACAGCGGCTTTCGCCTCTTCACCTCTTTGCTGTTCTTCCCCAAAGCCTGTAACTCCGGCCTAATCCTGAGAAAAACATCAGACAAACCCAGACTGGGAGGGTATCCCAAAGGTACCTGACCAGTACCATTCAAGATTATCAAAGTCACAAGAAACAATGACTGAGAAACTGTCATGGATCAGAGAAAACAGGGGAGACATGGCCATTAAATGCAGTGTGAAACTCTGGGTTGGAGAGGACCAGAGGAACAGAAAGAAGACATTAATAGAAAGACTAGTAAAACTCAGGTAAAGTCGGGAGTTCAGTTGATAGTACAAGTTGAGCATTCCTGTTCCGAAAATCTGAAATCCAAATTGCTCCAAGAATCCAAAAAAATTTTGAGTATCATGCTGGTGCTCAAAACATTTCAGATTTTGGACCATTTTGGGTTTTCAGATCAGGGATACAGTATTCAGCTGGTAAAGTCTGTGTATGGAAATATTCTGAAAGCAGAAAAACTATGAAATCCAAAACATTCCTGGTTCCAAGCATTTCAAATAAGGGATACTCAACCCATAGCATACCAGCATTAGTTTCTTAGTTTTGACCAATGTATTATGGAATTATAAGAATATTAACAATTGGAGAAATTAGGTGATAGGTGTTCAAGAACTCTCTGTTTTACCTTTGCAATTGTTCTATAAAGTTAAAATTACTCCAAAACAAAAGTTTACCTAGGGTGTAGGGGTGTAGCTTAGTGGTAGAGTGATTGCAAGGTGCTGGGTTTGATCTTCAATGTTGCCGATTAAAAAAAAGTCACTTAAAAATGAATAGAAACAGATCTTCTGTAAGAGGCAGATATGTTGCCGGGCGTGGTGGTGCATGCCTGTAATCTCAGCACTCGGGAGGCTGAGGCAGGAGGATCGCTGCAAGTTTGAGACCAGCTTGGGCTACAAAGTGAGCTCAAGGCCAACCTGAACTGCACAGTGAGACCCTGTCTTAAAAAGACAAAAGAAAAAAAAAAAAAAGGCCAGGGATATAACTCAGGGGCACAAGTGCCTGCCTGGCAAGCGCAAGGTCCTGAGTTCAATTCCCAGTACAAAAAAAAAAGTGGAGGCGGCGGTGGGGGGGTGGGGGACAGATATCTTGGCGCCTGCTCCTGGCCCTACTCTGGGAAACGGCCTGCCCCAGCATTCACTGTCTAGCAATCACGTTTTAGCCCCACCCCACCCCCCTGTTCTCTATCCCTCTTCCTAGTCCTTCTCAGTCCCTGATAAGGAAGCTGAGGTTATCAGTGGGATTCAAGAGGATTACACTGGGGATATCATAATGCCCCTTACACCACACCCCACGGGCAGCCATGCTCTGCGATTCCGATATGGGATATCACAGTACAGTACAGTACAGTACAGGGAAAAAATGTTCTGCCTCCAGGCTCTGGTGCAGTCACTAAGACCTGCCCTTGGGTGAGTCATCCACCTCCAAGTCCGCCGCCCAGATCGGAGTCTGAGAATACGCCCCCTGCTGCCCAAAGTAGACATCCCCAGAGGGTCCCACTTTTGTCCTCTGAAATTTGAGGCGGCCTATGATTCTCCAGAACATATGAACCCAGGCGGACCTTGCCAACCAATCTAAATTGGTTCATGAGAAATCAATCTGCAACTCCAAGATTCTCTGGTTTCTGAAGACCCAACCATCTAAGAGGAAATGAAGCCCTGAAAGTGCGGTCACTGCTGGGCAGGGGATCTGAGAATGAAACGGAAACCCTGGCTGCAAAGACTGAGCGCATGGGAAGCCAGGACAGGCAGCTCCAGGAGGGGTGGGTGGCGGCTCGGTGTGTGCTGCCCCTGGCCCCGCCAAGCCCTCTTCTTGCCTCTTCTCCAGACCTAGGTCCCGCGCCTAGTTGGCCTGCACCTCCCTGTGGGAACCTGCGCTGTGCCCGGGGTGTACCTCGGCCAGGCTGACGGAGATGATGAACACAGGCGGGGGCAGGCAGTTCGCCCTCTCCAGGTATGTTCTCCGGGCCGGTTCCGGAAGCATCCACTTCGAGACGATCCTGTGGACCTTTTTGCTGTTGGGAGGATAGTTGCCATCCCCGTACTCTCCCAGCTTCTCTTCCTCCAGCTCTTCTTTTCTCTCTCTCTCCATGCTGAGATTCACGCTCTCCATCTCCACGTCATGAGCCACAGCCATTGTCCTGGGTCCTCCCTCCACCTGCAAGAGACAGGAGCGTCAGGGACAGAGGGTGACCCCTTGGTCTCCAGGCTGCGGCTCTTTCTTGGGCTTCACGGAAGGCAGCTAGAGATGATCAAAACAGCCTCAACCTCCTCAATGGCCCCAAATAAAGGTTTCACTTTTTAAAAAATTGTTTTTATTAAAAACATGGACTCTAGCCAGGCATGGGGTGGCCCACTCCTGTAATCCCAGCACTCAGGAAACTAAGGCAGGAGGATTGCTGCAAGTTCAAATCCAGGCTGGGCTACACAGTGAGTTCAAGGCCAGCTTGAACTGCAAGGTGAGACCCTGTCTCAAAAAAAAAAAAAAAAAAACAGACTCTAATATTCCCATGCATTAGGCATGTAATAAATTTTGTGTGTTCTTTTCTCTCTGTAAGTTAATTAACTAAAATTTAAAGAGTTAAGTATGGCTGCTCACATCTATAACCTCAACTGCTTGGGAGACTAAGGTAGAAAGATTTCAAACTCGAGGCTAGCCTGGGCAATTTAGCAAGACTTTATCTCAAAAAATAAAAAGGGTTGGGGATATAGCTCAGTTGGTAGAGCATTTGCGTTACATCAATAAGACCCTGGGTTCAGTCACTAATATCATTTTTTAAAAATATTTTAATTAAAAATAAAAAGCATGAACCAGCCAGGCAAGGCGACACAGGTCTGTAATCCCAGCACTCAGGTAGGCTGAGGCAGGAGGATCACAAGCTCAAGGCCAGCCTAAGCTACACAGGGAGATCTTGTGTCCAAAAAAACCTAATATGAACCACGGAGCCAGATGCTACACATCAGCTGTAAGACAACCTTATGTAAGTCACTTAATTTTTCCAAGACTCAGATTACATTTTTTAAAATTGTGATAAAACACACGTAACATAAAATTTACCATTTTAAACATTCAGCGTATACAATCCAAGTACGTTTACAATGTTGTGGAACCATCACCACTCGTTCCAGAGTCTTCTTACCATCCCACACGGCAGCCCCCACCCATCGCACCTGCTCCCCACACCCTCAGCCCAGCCCCTTGCAACCGCTGACCGCTTCCTGTCCCTGTGGGTTTACCTGCTCTGAAGAGCGTGCATACGTGGGATTCTAGGATGTGCGCCCTTTCCTTCACTTAGCAATGACACTGTCGAGGTTTATCTATGCTGCACCATGAGCCAGAATTCCCTTCCTTTTCATGCATAATATAGCATTTATGGACACACCGTGTTTTGCGTGGCCAAGCATCTGCTGATGGACAGTAGGTTGTTTCCACCTTTAGGCTACTGTAAATGAGCTGCTAGGAACACCCTTGTACAAGTTTCTGTTTTGTTTTTTATTTTTTTCTTTTTGAGACGGGGTCTCGCTATGCAGCTCAGGCTGGCCTTGAGCTCACTTTGTAGCCCAGGCTGGTCTCAAACTTGCAATGATCCTCCTGCCTCAGCTTCCCAAGTGCTGGGATTACAGGCATGCACAACCACAACCAGCTCGAGTTTCTGTGTAAATACCTGTTTTCAATTCTTCAGGACACAGACCTATGGGTGGCACTGCTGGGTCAGATGGTAAGCCCTACACTCATTGGGAAACCCTGGATGCCAGCTTAAAGGGGAAGTGTTAGTGATTACCTCACAGCATTGCTGAGAAGATTATTTGAGCTAATGCAAGCAAAGCACCTGGAACGGTAGCTGGCACACAGGGAAGCACTCTATAATTATTAGTTATTACTGGCAATGGGCGAGTGGTGGTTGTGTAGAAGGATGGATGGGTAGATGGGAGGGGTAGAACTGAGCCTGGGGCTTACTTTCGTGGGCAGTTTACTGGGAATCAGATCAAATTCAATTTATTTCCAAGTGAATCTCATTAGGCAGGTTTCCATATTGCAGTAAGTTATATCAATGGTTCTAGAAAGGAAGAGAATTCTTTTTTTTTTTCTGCATTTTTTTTTGTTTTGTTTTTTTGAGACAGAGTCTTGCTTTAATTCAGGCTGCCTTGATCTCACTATGTATCCTAGGCTGGCCTCAAACTTGCAGCAATCCTCCTGCCTCAGCCTCTCAACTGCTGTCTACAGCAATTTTTCTATAAATAAAAGCTTTCCCCTTCCCTGAATTACTCCCTTGTTGTGGCCCACATCCCCGGGTCAGACATTAAGTCTATAAATATACTGGCTATTTTACTCCTTGTATATTGATAATTACTTCTAATTTTACCACTTCTAATTGACAAAACTACAGTGTGGATTTACAATCAGCAGACTTTAACTACAAACATTAAAGCATTTAAGAAATAAGTTCAGCCAGGCATGTTAGTGCATGCCTGTATTTACAACATTCTGGGAGGCTGAGTCAGGAGGATCATCAAGTGTAAGCTCAGCTTGGGCAACTTAGCAACTTAGGGAGAACCTGTCTCAAAAAAAAAAAAAAAAAAAAAAAGCTGGGAATGTAATGATTAGCAGTGTATGAATAAACCCCACTGTAAATTTAAATACCATACATGATCATTTTATAAGGAAACAAACTTCCACATTGTTAACAATATAATGTTACATTTCTTTTGTTTTTTGGTACTGGGAATCAAACTCACAACTTCACGCTTGCCAGGCAAGCACTGTGCCACTGAGCTAAATCCCCAGCCCTAATGCTACATTTCTTAAAGTAGCTAGAAAAATAAGAATTACAATTTGCTGCTGGGCGTGGTGGTGCACACCTGTAATCCCAGTACTCGGGAGGCTGAGGCAGGAGGATCATCATGAGTTTGAGACCAGCCTGAGCTACAAAGTGAGCTCACGGCCAGCCTGAACTGCACAGCGAGACCCTGCCTCAAAAAGACAAAAAAATAAAAAAGTAAAATTACATTTTGCTCTAGATTTTCTCTTCAGATTTCAAGGGCTGGGGATGTAGCCCCAGCGAGCCTCATATGACAAGGTCCTGGGTTTAAGCCCCAGTGTCCCCCAAACAAAGTAGAATTCAAAACTTCCAGAAACGTTATGACTTCACGCTCATCCTTTTGGGTACACAAATGCCTAAGCATATGTCTCGTGCTGAGAAGGTACCTGCCCCACGTGGACAGGCCAAAGTCGTCGCTCGTTGGCCGTCTCCCTTGGCACGCACAGTGAAGGGTCTCAGTACGGAATGCTAGCAACTTAAGCTGAGCTCGCTGGTGGTGACCTGCTACATTTCACTTCTACTTCTCATCAGTCACCATCACACTCCGCTGCTCCCGCCTGTCTGTTTCCCTGGCCCTGGCCCTGGTCCTGGCCCAGGGGCCTGTCTCTGGCTCGTCCTACCCCAACACAGGTGCTCCTCCCATCCCTGATGTTCCCAGTCCTCCCACTCCTGTTTCTCCTCAGGCCCACACCTGCATTTCTGAATGCAGTCAACCACCCTGGGAGTGTCACCAATCACACTGGCCACACTGAGAGACCAGGAACTTCCCACGCTGGTGAGGCTGTGTGGGAAAGCCTGCCATGTATGAGATACAAATCAATGCCACCTTCCAGAAGGCAACAGGCAGTTTCTATAAAACACAAAATGCATATACCTTTTGACAGAACATCTTACTTCTAGAATTCCACCCAGAAAAATGTATCTGAGCAAGTACACAAAGCTAAGACCAGACATGGTGTCACATGTCTGTGATCTCAGCACTCAGGAGGCTGAGGCAGGAGGATCACCATGAGTTCAAGGCCGGCCTGAACTACATTACTTTGTCTCAAAAAAAAATAAATAAAAGGACACAAGGGGGCTGGGAATTTAGCTCAGTGGCAAAGCGCCTGCCTGGCAAGCGCAAGGTCATGAGTTCGGTTCCGGGTACCAGAGAAAAACCAAAAAAAAAAAAAGGACACAAGACTACAGTCCAAGGATGTACAGTGCAGAACTAGTTATACTAGTGAAAAACTATAAACAACCTAATGGACTTCAAAAGGGATGTCACATTTCCTGACCATTCTAATTCTTCAGTAGTTCTTCCTCATAGTGTGCTGAAATCTGCTCACCAGGACATCTGCTCCGGGCTAGGTTTCCCTCAGCAGGACCTCACGAAGCAAGTCTAATCTAAGGTCTTTAACTCTGTCTTTGCTTGGGTGTGGCCTGCACAACTCCAAGGGCTCTCTAGGTGAAAGTTGGGATGCAGTGTCAGGAAGTGCCAGAACTTTGGGAGCCCTAACTGTATAGACCAGGACTCTCAACACAAAACAAGGGGCGGTGATCACTTGATAGTCTCGCTGAGCTCTAAAAGCACCCACAGCTATCCAGTGATTTATTTGTCCTTTCTCTGTCACAGTAGCACTCGGTGAGGTTTATGCCGGACTGTGTTTTCTTACTCATTAAGCAAAGATCATGCAGGTTTCTTGGGCTTTATAAAGTGTTGGCATGATGTTATGCCATGCCTCCTACCTATTATCTGTAGCAAGTTGCTGCCGCCCACTCTGTTGAAATGCCACACACATGCAGATCCAAACAAGTGGCACAGCTGTGAAATGTTCTCTCTGCCAGTAGGGAATGGGGGTAGATCATTAGGATGTGCCTAGCCTTCTGGTTAAAAATGGCAGTGTTCCTCTCGCACATCAAGAACAAAACCCTTCCTTCATGGTGAGCAAGTGTTCTTAAGAAGAAACATGGTATCGGGGATATAGCTCAGTAGCGCAAACACCTGCCTGGCAAACGCAAGGTCCTGAGTTTGATTCCTGGTACCAAAAAAAAAAAAAAGAAGAAGAAGAAGAAGAATGAAGAGAAGGAGAAGGGGGAGGAGGGGGAGGAGAAGGAGAAACATGGAAAGATCTGACTTCTCAATCTTGCCTGGTGTAAGCATTGCAGGTGTTATGAGTCACGGAGCCGGTATGTTGGACAAAGACTAGAAGGACAGGACTGTGCTTGTTTGCCCAAAATAGTTGTCTTCCTTAAAGAAAAAATCACTAGTAAAAGAGATTCACAGCCAGGCGTGGCAGTGTGTACCTGTAGACTCCGTCAGAGAGAGAGACAGGGACACAGACAGAGAGACAGAGAT